TAAATATATTTAATAGCATAAATATTAAATAAATAAAAAATTAATTATATAAGTAACACAAAACATAAAATTATACAAAAATATAGTATTTTTTTCTTTTTTTTATCACCTTCCCCTTGGACTACTCTCTATATATATCCCCCCTCCCTCGTCCTCTTCGAAATGGAAGCCCGCCGTGGCTCAGACTAATAACATTCGTTGCATTTGCTACCGGTGGCGACGCCATCTCTCCACCGCATTGCTTTGTTCCTTATTGGGTTTTTGGGTCTTGGATGCAACTCTGCCTTTGACCCAACTTCCTCCATAAACCTCCCACTAAACCTCACTGTGTTTCTACTGATTCCTCTTCGTCTCTTCCATACGAATAAATATGGAAAATCTGGTATCCTTGATCTCTCCGTTAATGCCGTATCTGGTCAGCTTATTGGTTTTCCTCTTGTTTTTGGAACAGATCTCTTACTTCAGGAAGAAACGGAATGCTCCTGGTCCAAACCTTGTCATTCCCTTCTTAGGCAACGTCTCCTCACTGGTCCGGCATCCCACCACGTTCTGGGACGTTCAATCCAAGCTCGCCGCCCGTTGTGGGTTCTCCGCCAACTACATAATTGGAAGGTTCATCGTTTTCATTCGCGACACTGAGCTGTCTCATCTCATCTTCGCCAACGTCCGCCCCGACGCCTTCGCGTTGGTGGGTCATCCTTTTGGGAAGAAACTATTCGGGGAGCATAATTTGATCTATATGTTCGGCCAGGATCACAAGGATCTCCGCCGTCAAATCGCTCCGAATTTCACTCCGAAAGCGCTAGCTGCCTATACCGCGTTGCAGCAGCTCATCATTCTCAAGCACTTAATGCATTGGGAGCGTCTCTCATCGGAGTCGGCTTCGGAACCCATTAGTCTCCGGCTTCTAATCCGCGAAATGAATCTGGAAACTTCTCAAACTGTGTTCGTCGGCAGGTATCTATCTCGGGAAGCAAGAGACAGATTCAGGGTGGATTACAATTTCTTCAACAATGGATTGATGAAGCTCCCTATTGATCTCCCCGGCTTCGCATTTCGAAACGCCAGGCTCGCCGTTGAACGCCTGGTTACTACCCTAACTGCTTGCGCAACCCAGAGCAGATCGAGAATGGCGGAGGGAGACGAGCCGTCGTGCCTAATTGATTTCTGGATGCAGGAGCTTGTCAAAGAAATCGCCCAGTCTCAAACGCCGCCGCGGCACTCCAGCGACACAGAAATAGGCAGCTACCTCTTCGATTTCCTCTTCGCCGCCCAGGATGCCTCCACGTCGTCGCTCCTCTGGGCAGTCACCCTCCTCGATTCGCATCCCGAGGTTCTTCAGAAAGTTCGAGGTGAAGTTTCGAGAATATGGTCACCGGAGTCTAATCAACTAATCAGCGCGGACCAACTGAGGGAAATGAAGTACACACAGGCGGTGGCGCGTGAGGTGGTGAGGTACCGAGCTCCGGCGACTCTCGTCCCGCACATTGCGACGGTGGATTTCCCGCTGACGGATTCCTACACGATTCCCAAGGGGACGATTGTGTTTCCCTGTGTTTATGATTCATCGTTTCAAGGGTTCACCGAACCGGACCGGTTCGACCCGGAACGGTTCTCGGAGGAGAGGCAGGAGGAGGTGGTTTACAAACGGAACTTCCTGGCGTTTGGCGCCGGAGCCCACCAGTGCGTGGGCCAGAGGTACGCCCTCAATCATCTGGTGCTTTTCACCGCGATGTTCGTCACGTTGCTCGATTTCGAAAGGCATCGAACAAACGGTTGTGATGAGATCACCTATACCCCAACAATCAGTCCTAAAGACGGTTGCAAAGTTTACCTCTCTAGGCGGTGCGCACGCTACCCTAACCTCGCTCTCAATTGACGAAAATGCCCTTCTAAATTTCTTCAGGTAGGGTGGGCCCGTGGCCCGTGGCCCGTGGCCCGTGGCCCGTGGCCCGTGGCCCGTGGCCCGTGGCCCAGTAGGGAGTTGTGGTAATGTTCTCTTCCACGTGCCTAACGTGGTTGATGTCAAACAATGCGTTGTTCAATTTTTTTTTTTTTTAAACATTTGTAATCCATTCATAATTTTTTTCCGTGTGGGTTAGGGCCCCTGGGTGTGTATAGGCCGTGAGGCTGTTTGGTTAATTTAGGGGGCAAACGAAAAAAGGAAAATTGTGTGGAGACATTGATTGGCGGATAATTGGGTTGGCGTTCGGGCATCAATAAAATAACGCATTTTTCACTAGCTTTTTCTTTTTCCTTTTTTTTTGAACAAGTGCAATTTTGGAGAAACATAATAATCCAATTGACTTGTAAAGTCAAGTGTGTAACTAGCTTTTTCTTTTTGGTTTCTCTCTCAAATTGCATTTATATATGATTACATTTAATTACAATTATAAAATGGTTCAAGCATAATTTAAGATTTGAGAAAATATATAAATAAAAATATCAATTTTATTTTTTATTAAAAAATATTAATTTTATTAATTTTTAAATAATATTAATTTTTT